CCTCCTCATCCTCCTCCGCCTCCTCTTCCTCCTCCTCCTCCTCCTCCTCCTCCTCCTCCGCCTCCTCATCCTCATCCTCACCCTCTTATTATTATTAGTATTCGGCTTCGCCGGCTTCGTTATCATTATGCTTCTTGTTAGTCTTAGTATTCGTCTTCTTCGTCGTCTTATTATTATAATTCGTATTATTATTAGTATTATTATTAGTATTAGTAGCATTTTTAGTATTATTATTAGTAGTATTATCATTATTATCAGCATTATTATTATTATTAGTATTAGTATTATTATTATGATTGCTATTACTATTACCATTACTATTCTTCTTAGTCGCCGTCGTCTTCTTCTTCTTCCTCCTCCTCCTCCTCCTCCTGCTCATCCTCCTCATCATCCTCCTCCGCCTCATCCTCCGCCTCCGCCTCCGCCTCCTCCTCCTCCTCCTCCTCCTCCTCCTCCTCCTCCTCCTCTTCCTCCTCCTCCTCCTCCTCCTCCTCCTCCTCCTCCTCCTCCGCCTAATCTTCTCCTCCTCCTCCTCCTCCTCTTCCTCCTCCTCCTCCTCCTCCTCCTCCTCCTCCTCCTCCTCTCCTCCTCCTCCTCCTCCTCCTCCTCCTCTTCTTCCCTCCTCCTCCCTCCTCCTCTCTCCCCCGCCTCCTCCTCCTCCTCCCCTCCTCCCCTCCTCCTCCGCCTCCTCCTCCTCCTCATCCTCCTCCTCCTCCTCCTCCTCCCCCCCCTCCCCCTCCCCCCCTCCCCTCCTCCCCCTCCTCCCCCTCCTCCCCCCTCCTCCCCTCCCCCTCCTCCTTCCTCCCTCCTCCCTCCTCCCTCCTCCCTCCTCCCTCCCCCTCCTCCTCCCTCCTCCCTCCTCTCCTTCCCCATCCTCCCTTCCTCTCCCTCCTCCCTCCTCCCTCCCCCTCCCCTCCTCCCTCCTCCCCCCTCCCGCCTCCATGCCTCCCTCCTCCCTCCTCCCTCCTCCCTCCTCCCTCCTCCCGCCTCCCTCCTCCTCCCTCCCCCTCCCCCCTCCTCCCTCCTCCCCCCTTCCTCCCTCCTCCCTCCTCCCTCCTCCCTCCTCCGTCCTCCCTCCTCCCCTTCCTCCTCCACCTTCCCTCCTCCACCCTCCCTCAGCCTCCCTCCTCCTCCTCCCGTCCTCCATCCTCCCTCCTCCCTCCCCCCCCTCCTCCCTCCCCCCCGCCTCCCGCCTCCCGCCCGCCCGCCTCCCGCCTCCCGCTCTCACTCCCTCCCTCCTCCTCCTCCTCCTCCCTCCCTCCCCCCTCCCCTCCTTCTCCTCCTCCTCCTCCTCCTCCTCCTCATCCTCCTCATCCTCCTCCTCCTCCGTCTTCTTCTTCTTATTATTATTATTATTCGTCGTATTAGTCTTCGTCTTATTATTATTCTGCTTCTGCGTATTATTATTATTATTAGTATTATTATTATTATTACTACTAATATTATTATTAGTATTATTATTATTAGTATTATTATTATTATCATGATCATTATTATTATTATGGTTACTATTATTAGTATTATTATTAGTAGTATTACTATTAATAGTATTATTATTACTATTATTATTAGTATTATTCGTCTTCTTATTCGTCTTCTTCTTCTGATTATTATTATTCGTAGTGTTCTTATTCTTAGTCTTATTATTCTTCTTAGTAGTAGTCTTCGTCTTCGTCTTATTCGTATTATTCGTCTTCTTCTTCGTATTATTCGTATTGCTCGTATTCGTTTCCTTCTTCTTATTAGTAGTATTATTATTATGCTTCGTCGTCTTCGTATTATTCGTATTATTCTTAGTCGTCTTCTTCTTCTTCGTATTAGTATTCTTCTTCTGATTATTATTATGATTCGTCTTCTTAGTGTTATTCTTGTTAGTAGTCTTCTTATTATTCTTATTCTTAGTATTATTCGTATTATTCTTCTTATTATTATTAGTATTCGTCTTATGCGTCGTCTTCTTCGGCGTCTTCTTCGTATTCGGCTTCTTCTTCTTCGTCTGCGTCTTCTGCTGATTATGCTTATTTTGCGTATTAATATTATTGTTATTCGTAGTATTATTCTTATTATTCTTCTTCGTATTATTATTAGTATTCTTCTTATTAGTCTTCGTAGTCTGATTCTTCTTATTCTTCTTCTTATTATTATTCTTCTTATTCTTCTTATTATTCTTCTTATGTGTCTTCTTAATATTATTCTTCTTCTTAGTATTCGTATTCTTATTCTTATTATTATTAGTATTAGTCTTATTATTATTATTCTTCCTCCTCCTCCTCCTCCTCCTCCTCCTCCTCCTCCGCCTCCTCCTCCTCACTCCTCCTCCTCCTCCTCCTCCTCCTACCTCCTCCTCCTCCTCCTCCTCCTCCCTCCTCCTCCTCCTCCTCCTCCTCCTCCTCCTCCTCCTACCTCCTCCTCCTCCCCTCCTCCTCCTCCTCCTCCTCCTCCTCCACCTCTCCTCCTCCTCCTCCTCCTCCCTCCTCCTCCTCCTCCTCCTCCTCCTCCTCCTCCTCATCCTCCTCCTCCTCCTCCTCCTGCTCCCCTCCTCGCTCCTCCTCCTCCCTCCTTCCTGTCCTCCCGTCCCTCCCTCGCCTCACTCACCTCCCTCCCGTCCCTCCCTCCCTCCCTACCCTCCTCCCTCCCTTCCTCCCTCCCTCCCCCTCCCTCCTCCCTCCTCCATCCTCCCTCCTCCCTCCTCCCTCCTCTCTCCTCCTCTCCTCTCTCCTTCCACATTCCTCTTTCCTCCATCCTCCTTCCTCTTTCCTCCTTCCTCCTCCTCCTTCATCCTTCCCCCCTCCTCGCCTCCTCTCCTCCCTCCTCCTTCCTCCATCCTCAATCCTCCTCATCCTTTCTCCTTCCGTCTCCCTCTTCCTTCATCCATCCTCTCCCCCTTCTCCTTCTCCCCGCTCCTCCCACAGCTCCTCCCATCCTCCTCCCCCGCCCTCCTCATCCTCTTTCCTCCTTCCTCATTCCTCCTCTGCCTCCTCCCTCGTCCCCCCGTCCCTCCTTCCCTCTCACCCCTCCTCACCTCCCTCCCATCCTCCCTCTCCCTCCTCCCTCCTCCCTCCTCCCTCTCCTCCCTCCTCCCTCCTACTCTCCCTAATACCTCCCGCCCTCCGCCTCCCCCTCCCGCCTCCCGCCTCCCGCCTCCTCCTCCTCCACCTCTTCCTCCTCCTCCTCCTCCTCCTTCCTCCTCCTCCTCCCTCCTCCCTCCTCCCTCCTCCTCCTCCTCCTCCACCTCCTCCTCAGCCATTTCGCGTCCGAGCGGCCTCCCCTGCACTGGGCCTCCTGGGCGACGTGGCGCGCCAACTTCGAAGTGGCGTTGCGCGCCCGAGCCGTAAAGAAGAAATGCTGAGGCCAGGCGTCAGTCAAGAAGCAGCGCGGAGCCCAACGTCATCAGCTGCAACGCTGAGACCAGGCGAGCGCGCATCCGCCAGGAAGCCCGCCCCCCTCCGCCCCCTCCTCCGCTCCTTCCTCCCCCTCAAACCCGGGCGCCAACAGTTGCGGCGCCGCGGTCAGAGTGCAGGCAATCCGTCGAGAAGACGAAGGACGAGCCCGATGTCAGCAGCTACAACGCTGGGTTCAGGGTCACAAGCGGGAGCCAGACCATACACCTCACTGCGAGAAGCGGGATGGTGAAGGTCGAGCCCAACGCCGTCAGCTACAGCCGACTCCGCATCCGACGCTGGAGGCCAAGCTGGTGGCCGTCGAAGGTCGAGCCGGATACGGTCAGTCACAGTGCGGCGATCAGGGCATGCTACACTGGGAGTCAGATGCCACACCTCACTGCGAGAGGCGGGAAGCGAAGCTGGAACCCAACATTGGAGCCAGAGGCCAATCTAGTCTAGCCCGCGAGAAGTGTGGCCAATCTAGTCTAGCCAATCCAGTATCACTACTATGCGAGAAGTGGAAGGCAAAGCTGGAGCCAGCCTCTAAACCCGACGCCAAACTGCGAGAAGCGGGAGGCGAAGGTAGAGCCCGACGTGATCAGCTACAGTGCTGGGATCGAGGGAAAAGCGAGCACGAACGGATGTGCCACGATCAGCTACAACGCTGGGAGCAGTCCGTGCGAGAAGGGTGCGCGCAGTGGCAGCACACGCTGGCGCTGCAAAGCGTGCGGGTGGGCTACGATCAGCTACATCGCTGGGAGCGACCCGTGCGAGAAGGGGGGCAAGCAGTGGCAGCGGACGTTGGCGCTGCGAGAAAACGGCTGCAAGAAGGAGGAGGTGAAGTTAGAGCCCGATGGCCTTCTAGCTAACTCCGATAGAAAGAGCGCGTGCGAGAAGTGCAGGGGCGACAATCGGGGCAGTGGATCGGTGCACCTCGATAGTTTCGGTGCGAAGCGGCAGGGGGGAGCTCTGTGGCCAACCTCTTGCGAGAAGCAGGGGGTGAAGCTAGAGCCCGATTTCGTCGAGAGTTCTGGAGAAGCCTCATGCGATCAGCGGGGGGCGTAGCTGGAGCCCAAGACTAGTCTCGAGCGAGCCACTTTCAGCTACAGCGCTAGAATCAGCTCGTGTGAGAACGGAACGAGTGCTGGGGCGAACAATCGGGGCAGTGGATTGGTGCACCCCGAGGGCGTCGGCGCGACATGGAAGGGGGGATCTCCTGGGCCAGCCTCTTGCGAGTAGCGGGGGGGTGAAACTGGAGCCCTTTTCGTCGAGAGCTCTGGGCAAGCCTTTTGCGAGAAGCGGGGGGCAAGGCTGGAGCCCAAGTCTAGTCTCGAGCGAGCCACATTTAGCTAGTGCTGGACCCCACTCGTGCGAGAACAGAACGCAGGCAGTGGCAGCTGGGCTGCCAAGGCGTGCGAGGAGTGGGGTGTGGCTCGGGGACGGCCCGAAGCGGCCCCGCTCCCGCGGTAGCAAATCCACGGGGCGTGGCTAACCGTTTGACCAGCTCTAATCCAGCTCTCATCCTCCTCCTCCTCCTCCTCCATCCTCCCTCCTCCTCCTCCTCCTCCTCCTCCTCCTCCTCCTCCTCCTCCTCCTCCTCCTCCTCCTCCTCCTCCTCCTCCTCCTCCCGCTGCCCCCCCGCACCGGCGCGGCAGAGGGGGCGGCGCGCGGCGGGCCATCGAGAGGTTGGTCATCCCGAGGCCTGGCGCCGCCACGGCGGGGGCGGCGCGGAGGGAGGCCGCGGTCGGCGGCAAGCAGGGCTCGATCTGAACAGTGTCTTCCGTATTCGCGTGGTGTTCGTTTTCCCTCGTTCTGTCTTCGTTCCGCCTTTTTGCTGCAAGACGATATCAGAGCGAAAACGTTTAGGTCGACCCCTGGGGGGAAGTGAGAAGGAGAAGGCCTTCTTCCCAGGAAGGGCGTTCTGGCACGATTCGGGATCGTCCACACACAGCAGTAACGGTGATTCGCGGCGTTAAAGACCAAGAATGGTTTTCTGGTACCGTTTCTGATGTTCAAACGGTTGTCTTCCAACGGGGCATTTCCCTCAATGAAAATGCGAACCCTGGTAGGGGCCTACGGAGAGGGAATCTGGAGGGACGGATTGTTACAAAATTGTTGATGAATCGTGGGTTGACATTGGCCATCCTCCTCCACTTCCTCCTCCCTTTCTTCACACCTCCATCATTGTTTCTTCTTCGCATCCTCTCTCTCTCTCTCTCTCTCTTACTCTATCCTTCCCATGACAGCAGGAAGAGGGGGAAGGATGCCGACACCACAAGCTGGATTGGCCTGCCTCCAGGGAGGCACGTGCCGAAAGAAGAAGGGCGAGAGGGAAGGGCGCGTGAGCGAGGAGAGGAAGGAGGAAGGGGGGGAGCAGGAGAAGCAGGAAAACCAGAGGAGCACGAGGAAGAGGCAAACAGGGACCCTCTCCTCCGACTTCGCGTTTCACTCCTGACGCGGACCCACGGGGGCCCCGACCCCTTCCCCAGGGGCAAGTTTTCATCCTCAACCGGGGGACAGCCTCCTGAGGCTGGAAATGTCAAAAGCCTGGCGGTCACGATTTGTTATGCGGCGCCCAGAACTGGGTGGCAGAGGCTGGTTTAAACAAGGACCTCTGAAGGCAACAGTTTCCAAAACCAACCGTGGCCAACCCTCCACCGTGGCTCCTGCACGCGTGCGACGCGTACCGTTTTATGATAAATTTCCCGTTGTCAATGGTGTGGTGACACGGCTTCTATGCCCAAGCCTTGGACGGTCCTCGCGCCTGTCCTTGGTTTATATATAATAATAATAATAATAATAATAATATTTTTTAAAAAATATATATATATATATATAATATATATAAATAATAAAAAAAAAAAAAAAAAAAAAAAAAAAAAAAAAAAAAAAAAAAAAAAAAAAAAAAAAAAAAAAAAAAAAAAAAAAAAAAAAAAAAAAAAAAAAAAAAAAAAAAACGAGACAACGGTCAACAGAACACCGTAGGCCCGCGCTGATTCCTCAGATCAGGGCTGGACCCACCTCCCTGGACGCGGAGCGCGCCAGGGGCGGCGCCAGAAGCGTCGCCAACGGGGCCGAACGCCGATCCAAGAAACCCACGCGGAGCTCAAACAAATCATGGTTATGTCTTCTTGCCGATTTCGAACTAGAAGCGAGATAGAGGAAGTAGACGAGCATGGGGGTTCCTTGTGCCCCCCCCCTCGCCTTGCCACAAGCTCTTTGCTGCAGGCCCCGCCTCACCCGTTGCAAAAGCAAGCAAGCAAGCCGTGCACCATGAAGTCGCACAGGCAGAGACATGAATAAAAAGTTATGGCGGTGCGCCAAACGCGTCCCGGAAACAGTCCGCCAAACGCGCTGCGAAGACGATGGTGCGACGCAAAAGCATACTTTCATGCGTTAAGAAGCCTCATCGCGTACACTTCGTGAGTCCACTGCTGTCTTGGGCGGCCTGTGCGCCGGCGAAGAGCCCAGCTATTCGGGGCACAGTCTGCTTCGCACACGAGCCGTTTCACTAGGGAATGGCTTGGCTGCGCAACGATTTTTCGGTACAGGTTGATTTCCTTGACGTGCGATATCTGCGACAATGGTGTGGAGCCTGCCCTCTTCAACACTGTTGCGTTAGATATGCGCGCAAAGTACGAATGTGGGATGTCCATGATTGTTCGTGAGCATCTGCAATGAAAAACGTCTAAACGGTCTCTGACCGCCTTGAGAAGCTTACTGACCACGCAACTGGAATGTATGTGAAGCTTTCTGATATTACCATTTGCCGCGTGCGCCCAAAGTTTGTGTAGCTACTTGAATGCGTTCGTCGTGTTTTCGCCAATGCGGCGGGATAACTCATGCTTGGCCCGCCCATGCTTTGCCCGTTGCAAAATGTCAGGTCTTATTATTGGGGAAAAAAGGAATTACGCTACCAAGGAACCCCACATACTGCATTATTGCTGGAGTGATGATAGCTGAAGTGAAGCATGTGAGAATCATGTTGGTGGCCGGTGCCCCGCCGATACCGTTGGTGACGCCACTCAAGAGGAGGCTCAAGAGGAGGGGTGGAAGAGAAGAAGCGCCGCGCCAGCCACACTTTGCGAGCCTGGTGACCTGGACGACCGGCGCGCAT